CGTTTTGTCACGTTTTGTCTATACTAAACGAATAAAAAACATTATAACTTAAATTTAAAAAAGATTATAAAATATGCTAATATTTGATTTTTTTTTTTCTTAAATATGTTATTTAAAGTTTTTTAAATAATTATTTTTTCTTTTTAAAAAGTCAGCGAGTAATAAACTGGAATTTTCAATATTGTACGATTAAAAACTGTGCAATAGCTAATATTTTTACAAGCGATTTTATATAATATTTATTTATTTTTATTTATTTTCAAAAAGCGGTTGATAAGCACTATCACTCGTATGAATATAAAACTTAAACGAACGTTTTGAATAATTTTTGATGTTAACAAGGAATTTTATTTCTAGTAAAATAAAAATCTTATAGGTATAAAAAAAATATTTCAGCGAAAAAATTATTCTTAAAAATTATTCTTAAAAATTATTCGAAAAACTTTTGACGTTCTATTTTTCAGCAGCTGTTCTTGAGCACGCTTCGTTGAGTTTCGGTAACTTTTAACATAAAAGCGATCGTTATTATTTAAGTAATTTTTTTGAGTTACTTTTTACAAAATATTTTATAACTGTACTTTTTTATTGAATCAAGTAGAATACGTTTTAATATTAATCCTTTTTTATTTTTTTATTTGCCCTCTTCAATTTTTAAAATGTTTCCTCGAAATTACTCTTAAATACTTTTAATACGTCTAACAGTTAATAAATATTTTTAAATCTATGGAATAATTTTAAAACCTAACAAACCCTCGTAAAATAATTATTTAAGTTTAAAATCTAAAACTAAAAGAAAGTATTTTTGTTCAGTTTTATCGACAACTTTGCTGTGGCTGAATAATTTTAATTAAATTTTAGTTTAAATGATTTAAACTTTTTTTTTTAATTTTTGAATTTTTTCTATATGTAAATAATGAGCATATTTAATTTTTTTAAATTCAAACTTTTATTTCAACTGCGTGCGGTTTTTTTAAATACTTTATTAAATGTTAAAATAATTGTAAATTACTTCATTAAAATTCCGCTCAAAAATATCTTTAAATATACTCAAACAAAAAATTTTTTGCTCGACGCAAATAGCCTTCACGCAAAATCGCTCTTGGCCGACGTAAAATTCACATCGCGCGACGCTTTATCGCAAGGCCTGATAATATATATATATATATATATATATATATATATATATATATATATATATATATATATATATATATATATATATATATATATATATATATATATATATATATATATATATATATATATATATATATATATATATATATATATATATATATATATATATATATATATATATATATATATATATATATATATATATATATATATATATATATATATATATATATATATATATATATATATATATATATATATATATATATATATATATATATATATATATATATATATATATATATATATATATATATATATATATATATATATATATATATATATTAATATATATATATATATATATATATATATATATATATATATATATATATATATATATATATATATATATATATATATATATATATATATATATATATATATATATATATATATATATATATATATATATATATATATATATATATATATATATATATATATATATATATAAATATATATATATAAATATATATAATATATATATATATATATATATATATATATATATATATATATATATATATATATATATATATATATAAATATATATATATATATATATATATATATATATATATAGTATAGCAATAATGCAAGTATAGTTACAATGAAATGATCACAAACTAATACGAAGTAAGTGTATGTTGCAATTGTTTCATAAATAAATCTTTTAAAAAATGTTTAAAGCTATATCTATCTAGATTGCGCCAAAATCCTACGTAGACTTCTGATTAAATCACAATTAATTCGCATTTAATTATATTGTTACTTAAAACATGAAACTCAAATTTTTAGTCAAAAAATCAGATTAATGATGTCATAGCTACAATTTAATGGATAATACCCCAAAGAAGCATTATATGCAGAAGTATGGAAAAGCGTTAGATTAGAAGCATTTAGATATTATCTTGGAAAAAAGTTTCTTCTTTTCAGGACAACATCTAAATTTAACTATGATTGTAATATCACGATGCCATTTTAATAAACGCTGGGACCCATCTGAGTCCTTTGGCGATTTTGTCAGTGGGATCCTACTGTGTCCCATCAGGGATAAGTCTGGGTTTTTGACGGGAAATACCATTTTGAACCCAGATATTTTTTTCATTTAACGTGGGTTTTCTCAACTTTTTATGGTTCGTTTTTTCGCAAAACTTTTGTATCTCAAATCTACGAAATAATGTGACAATTTTTTGATTAAAAAGCGTCGCATTTTTTATATAAAATTAAAAAGTAAAGGTTATTTATATTACCTATATTGAATTCGCTGTAGGGGCAATAAAATGTATTAGGCAAATGAATATTTGGTCTGACATAATTTTACGAATCAATTGAAAAAACAGATTTGAGTTTTATGATATTTTTAAGCAACACAAAACTAATATTATACAATGATTTGATGCAAAACTGTTCTACGATAGTAATATTCTGCCAAAGTAGTTCTCTCATATCGCCACCATAATCGCATGACAAAATTCTGCTTGAAAAAATATCGCTATCGTTTTCTTTAGTGCTTTCATCTACTTTTACACTGATTTTATAAATTAAAAATAAACATTTAAATAATATAACAAATTATAGCATATATATTTTAAAATATAGATAAGATTATTTATTGATAATATTATTTAGGGCATACCATGCAGTGTTCCATACCATGCCATATTTTGCATATAACTAAAAAACACTAGGCAAACAAAAACACGAACAAATCACAAGCTAACTCAATACAATATATAAATCGATATACGTGTTATAATAATAGCCAGATTGAAGTAGAGGCCTAGGGCAGGACAATTAATTATTCACATAGTTTATTATTACAAAAACAATAAAAATAAAAAATAAACATAACATATATAATAAAATATAAATACTGGAGAACTGAAGCCTCGATATGACACCATGAATAATGGTGTTTCAACTTTTTAGTTGGCATCATCTAGTTTTAAAGTTTCTTCAGTTTTTCTTTTTAACCGGCATACTGCAGGGAATCTAAAACAATGTTATTTCATGGTAAATAACTGATGTTAATAATTAGGCATGACATAAATAGACTTGTAAACAACAATAATATAATATGAACACTATGTTACCATTTAAAATTTAAAGTCTTGACTCAAGTTAATCTGACATCAAACCATTAAATCAGTTGGTGAGGGTTTAGCATCTTTTATATAATTTAATAAATGCAAATATAATCAATATCACTAACATTTTGATTGTACCTATTTAAACAATAATCATTTTAGGTTATATTATCACTTGAAAATAATTATTTGTTACAATTTAAACATATTGAAAAAAATTAAAAACAATTGTAATTTTGACCACAATAAATTTTGTAATAAAATTATTTTCACATTGAAAATTTACAATTATTAACAAGTGTAGAGTACTTTCATTATTATATATAATAGTTATATTCACGATTAGTCTAACATAACGTATTTCAATTATTGGGACCAGAATTTATTGTTTAATTTCATATTGTCTAAGAGCTACATTTTGTGATTATATATTAATCTTATTTCACAGTAGATTCTAAAAAATATAACACCCTAACAAATTGGTTTAAAAAATCATTATACATAAATAACTTTAAAGCTTTACTACATTGTGACAATGGCAGCATGTATTGATGACAATACATGCTGCCAATAAACTATTAAAAAGTTGACTATTGAAATCATATTGCATGAATAACATACATGCTTTACCATATATGAATATTATTACTAGTAAATATTATTCTACTAATCAACAGATAAATGAAAATAAAAATAAAAACAAACTACCATTGAGGTACCAAATGAAGTTTATGTGAAAAATCCTTTAAATGTATATTTATTCCAAATCATGTCACACTACTGTACATGTAGTTTTAAAAATGTTTTTTATCATATATATTCATAAACTTTTATTGAAAAAATGTAAAACACGCTATTCTTACTCTAAAAATATTTGCTATCATAATAACATTCACATTTTCTAGAGATTCACAGTCCATCTTTTATTCACTGAACTTATCCATTCACAGATGTCCAGGTCAATATTATGAAAAACCTGTATATTTTGCGAATTCTATATATTTTTAATATACAGAAATTATTTTATCAGGGTTGCCACTATATATATTTTAAAGTTTTTCCCTGAGTATTCCCTGAGTAAAGAACGTTTTTCCCTGAGTTGAACTCTTTAAGCTCCTTGAGTTTTTCCCTAACTTTTCTTTATTCTTTCCTGTTCATCAACGAGATTATGATTTGCTTTAATTAAACACAATCTTTATATTTGACAAACTAAAACTTTTACAACAACACCCACAACAAGCAAACTTATTCTTATATGTATTAGCAAAATATTTTTGAAAAGAGAAATTATTGTACAAAATTTAAGCAAAAAAATTATTTTCCCTGAGTTTTTCCTGAATTTTATAAAAATTTTAGAAAATCCCTGAGTATTCCAGGTTTTCCCTGGGATTCATGCTATTTCCAGGCATTCCAGGTTTTCCAGATTGAGTGGCAACCCTGTTTATTTATTTTATCAAACTCTGTAAACTATTAGTTTGAGATATTAAAACTTGGGGAAAGTAAAACTTTCCTGAACTTTCTGAAACAAAAATATTCAAAATAATGTTGTCAGATTAAGTGTTAACTTTAGATTTCAAATTATAATTAAAATATAATCTTCTATGAAATGGTTCATCTAAATTTAGATGAACCATTTCATAGAAGATTATATAACTAATGTGTAAAAAACTAAAATTTGTTGAAGTAATGCATTTTCTGTTGTTAATCATAAATCAACACAAACCAACTCTAAAAACAAAACATAAATACTATTGAACCTCTTCAAATAATTTAATAAAGTTTTATTAAAATTTAACTTTTACTTAAGTTGTAATGTGCACAAAATTAACAGATAAAAAATTTGATTTTATAAAAATCTTTTTTATAACTTTGTAAATAAACATATTATATATGACTAGCCGATATCATATAACAACACAATAAAATTAACTTACTATAGCAAGTAAAAAATACAAAACACTCATGATTATTGAAAGATTCAGTTTTTGCAATATTTAGCATCAAAACTTTATTTTTGTATCTTAGTGACTGAGCCATAACTGTTAGCACACCAAACCATAAAAACTAATTTAAAAAATTTTCAAAAATTGTCTATTGCATAAAAAAATAAAAAAATGTCTTCAGTTTGATAAAACATTTTACAAGTCTGTAAAAAAGTAAACATTGACTCTCAAATTTAATAATGGTTATGATATTTAGAGCATTTAAGAAGTATGTTAATTAGCATTTAAGAAGTATATTAAGAGTATGCCATGTTTTTTTTTTTTTTTTTTTTTTTTTTTTTGTAAAATCTTTTGTTCAATGATTATCTAAACATTGCTATAAAAATATTTATACTTTTACTATTAATTAAAACTGGTATGTAAATAATTATTTTTTACAAAAATACTAAAAAAGAACCAAATTAAGTTCTTGTTCACTTTAAATGCAAGTGTATATTCAATCCAAATCAATCTGCGTTACTGCATATGTCATTTTAAAATATTTTATCATATTTTCAAGCATAATTTTTGCCGCAATCGTTGCACTATATAAGACCCATCTTTTACCCAGTTCAAATCCCAGTCATAACTCAGTTCCAATAATCTAGTTACATTCCGGGTGGGACCCAGTTGTTCTGGTAACTGGGCAGTTTATCATTTTTATTATTAACTACTATTATTTACAAGTAATTCACAATATAAATTATTTAAATATTTTTTCATATAAAATCTAATAATACTAATTCAAATTAAAGTTATAATATATATAACTCAAATAAAAATATTCTCACTTTACAAAACATAGTATTACTATGTTTTGTAATATGATAATATGACTATTAGTAAGGTTTTAATAAGTGACACTGCTATATATAAACGTTAGATATCATTTATAAATGCATAATATAAGTGTTAGATTTAACATTTTCTATAGGTTATATATTTGATAATATTTAACTTATACTATGAGAAATATATTAACTATATTACTTATAAAATATGTAAAATCTTACATTTAAAAAATGTATGATTTTAATTTTTTTCAAAAGTATGTAAAACTTGCATATTATTTATAAATACATAAACCATTTATTAAATGATTTATGTGAAAATAAATAATATCTAAAGTTTACGTACGGCAGTGCTACATAGTAAAACTTTGCTATGTTTTGTAAATAAAATTTGTCAGTCATTTTACAAAACATAGCAAATTTAAAGGTTTAATTAAGCACACAAAGCCATTACAGTAAGCACACTAAACTATATAAACTATTTTTTAAAAAAATTAACATTGTAATTTTATTTCAACAAAACTTCTAAATAAAAACGATGCCGAAAAAACTGCTTTGATTAGAAATACACGCTACCATTAAACTACGCTTCCCATCTTTAAACCAGCCATAAACCATTTACGGAAACCCCCATGCCGATACCAGTAAAAACCCAACTTTATTTGCGGCAATATATATATATATATATATATATATATATATATATATATATATATATATATATATATATATATATATATATATATATATATATATATATATATATATATATATATATATTTATCAATAACTTTACAGACGTTTGTTTTATTTAGTTTCAGTTTCCCCTTTTGAAAAAAAAAGATTAACAAAGTTAAAACGTTAAAGGTATGTGAACGAAAATTACTGCTTTTATAAAATTCTGTTTGAAGAAGATAAATAAATATATATATATATATATATATATATATATATATATATATATATATATATATATATATATATATATATATATATATATAAATATATATATATATATATATATATATATATATATATATATATATATATATATATATATATATATATATATTTATCAATAACTTTACAGACAACATAAACGCTGACTTTGCAGACAGAATTAAACGTTATTGGGCTGCGTTTGAAGAAAAAACCTGATGCGAGTTTATAAACAACTTCACCCAAGTTGTTACAAATGCGCCAGCTGTAAATATATACATAACTATGCAAAACAAATCTCAGTAACAAAAAAGACCACAAAAACATTATATGCTGTGGAGGCTGTAAATAACCTAAAAAGGTAGGTCAAAGTCGGGTAGTCCCGGACAGCAAGGAACTCTGGACACTTGATGTATAACTTAAACTAAAAACTAATATGAATTTAAATAATATGAAAAATTTAATTAATTCAAAATATGGAATATGCAATTTTTCATAATGTGCCAAACCAATTGGCTGGGAGTCCAAAATATTTTTTCAACAGTTCCTTAATAAACTCGTCAAAGTCCAATATTTAAGTCATGTGTTTTGACAACGTTGCTGTAGTTACTAAAAGTAAACTTATACGTTTGAAACTGCATTAAAAACATTTGAAAAAACCAATTGGTGTTTTAAAATACAAGATGCAAATACGGTTTCGTTTTCACCTAATTTTAATATTTTTTGTAGAGTTGTTATATGAAAACCCATCTTGCCCCATTCTGAGAGCAGAAGAGAACTCTTTTCGTGATTTTTTTCTGTGATGGCTCTTGGGTAGAAATCTTTCGTTTTTCTGCTGACAAATGTGCTTCTTAAATATGCTACATAACTTTTTGGATTCAGGTGGCACGGAATTTTTTAATCCTTTTTTATAATTCTAAATCAAGCCTCACTCTTCTTCATGATTTTCCTCACATTATGCTGCTAATATTTTGAAACAAAACCATTGATTCCATATCTATCAGCATAACAATTCTCCAGAAAATTGACATCTGTTTACTATTGCTAGAAACCATTGTCAAAAGTTTGTGTCCAACGCCATAGCCCGCTATACTTAGGCCATGAAGTCTCGTATTTCATCACAAAAATTAGGCTCTTCTGATTCTTTGAGAATTTTTACCAGTATCTATAATAAAGGCAAATCTGTTACTTCACCTCTCTTGTAAGGTTCAGATTTTGTCACCTTCCCTAACAAGGCTGAATTGTTAGCTAGGAACTTTTCATCAATATCAGCACTAACTGCGTTCACTTGATATAGCTGATAAACAGGTTGATCCATTGCTTAACATTCGTATTACTCAAGCTTCTGTATCTAAAGTGATTTCCTGCTCAGAATTTTCTACAGCTTGTGTTCCGGACAACATAACTGTTATAGTCTTGCAA